TTCCATTTGAAAAACTGATTTATAGTTAACTAATTTTGAATGCTAAAATAATTTCACATTAAGTCATTGATAGGAGGCTAGATGCCACATCTAACATTTCACTTTATGATAATTTAATTAGTATTATAGGAATAATAAACCTTTCTGAAATAGCCTAATATTTAAAAAAATAGAAAATACTCACTCCAGTTCCACATACCAGAAAAAAAAAATTAGCTAGCTAGTAGTTCTGTGTCCTAGCCCTTTAACTTACTACCATAAAATGAAGAGTGACAGTAAAAAAACCTAATTCTGGAAACAGTAAGGAAAAAATTAAATTGTATATTAGCTAGAATTGAAATTAACAAAAAATATCTTTATTTTATAATCAGCACTAATTCAAAACTGAGCTGACAAAAATACATATATGGACAAACCCCTGAAACATAAAATGATTCAACTTTATGTGTTGAAAGCAACTTTATCAATATGCAGTTTCTAGAGAAACAGGACACAACCATTACATTTTCATAACTTACAAAGTAGTAAGTCATCCAAAAGAAACATACTGGAACCAACGTGGATTAAAGAAATAATATTTGGCTCATCAAGACAAACATCTGTCCACTCTAAGGCCTATAAAACAAATTCAGTAACTCACATCTTGCGTCATTATGGTCACTATTCAGGGGAAAAAGCTAAGGAGATCCAAATACATAGTGTCGTACTCTGATTAAATAGGACAAAAACAGGGCCAAGATTGAAGTTTAGAATCCAGATGATGTGATGCACTGATTTCATTTTGGTTACACACCTGGCAGTGGCTTGAAATTAACATAAAAATTAAGGCAACACAGGCTACAAAACCTTGCAGTACATGTTCACGCTTCAATGCACCTACCGATCAATTCAGTGTTCTTTCTCACAGAGACTTAAAGAAATACAGGAAGAATGACAATGGAGATGGCAAAAGAAGTAACAGAACTCTTGCCATCACTTGTAGATATGAGATGCCTGCTCTGTATATAGCACTAAACTTCTATTGGCTCAGGAAGGCATCAGGAACTTCATTGTCAAAAACAATATAAAGCAGAACCATGGAGGCAACAAGCAGGTATTGCCTTAGGCAGGTACGGCATCACACCTCAACAACTAGGAAGTGCCCAGAGCAAAACAAGCTGCATCTGCAAGGAAAGCAGCACTAACTCATATAACAGGATGCCGTCTTTGATCCTTTCTGTAACGGGCTCTGAAAGACCTCATGGAAAAGGACATTAGGAAATGCCAAGTCCTTTCCTAAAAGCAGACAAGTGACCCAAGAGATACTCTGGGGAGGGTGAAGGGAGGCAGCTGGGGGAGACAGAAAAGCTCATTCCTTCTTCTTTCATGTGCACTGCAACAGGTTGTTGGAGCTGTGTTCATACAATGAATAATTAAGGACAGTTAATTTCCAAGATCATGATGTTTATCAGCACAGAATAACATGTAACATGTTATTATATTATGTGCATGTAACAATATAATCAAGAAGTGTTTGCTGTTACTCACAGTTGTGATAAAGTTCTATTTCCTACACACAAGCAAAGAAATTCTTCAATAAGGTAAACCTAACAATGAGACTGATCCGTCTTGCTGGAATTAAGTTACCTCAGCGATTTTACAAACAGTTACACAATACACAAAAACACATAAGGAAAAACTAAGAGGCAGCATGACAAAAAAGTTTTCTGCCCTATTACATACCATTTTATTCATCATACTTCACAATGCTAAACCTGTACAAGTTCATACATATTGCATTGAAAGAACTGTTCGCTAGCTCAAAAAAATGAAAATATCAGAAACATGAAACTTATGGTCCCTTTTGCAATTTTTGGGCAGTCAGTATCAATATATAAGCACAGAGCTTTTGACAGATACAAATAAAACCCTGAACAAAGGCCACAGGGACCACAGAGCCCTCATTTGGGCTACCATGACAGGTACCAGGCTGACATCCGTGGTCATCTCAAAAGCCAAATTCAAAGTCTGCTATATAGAAAAGTGAAATTATAGCCATTAGTAGAGAATTTAAGAAGAATTTAAGAAGCTAATTTAAACAGTAAAGATAAATTGGATCAAAACTATACATGCAGTTAAAGACACAGGTAAACATACACAACTGTTTAATTCAAGGTCACATTTTCACACAGGAGAAATACTACATTCTGATCTACCAGTATGGCTTTTTCCATGAATAGGTGGGTGTTTTCGGACATTAAACTGAAAACTGTTAGTTGTCTAAATCTAGAAGGGAATTAATTATGTTAGGAAGAATTAATGTCAAGAAATGAAAGTGAGATTAATGTGGAATTTATAGCATTAACATAGACACCACTATGATTTAATTTTGGAAGACGTTTCACCTTCAATTTAACTATCTGTCATACTGTGGCAGCATATTTCACCTGTGAGCTTTCATCTTGTAATACTGAAAGATAAGGTATAACTTTTTAAAAAAAATTCAATAGATTGAAATGCACCTGAGCAAAATAAAAATTAAAGTTCAAACACTAAAGAAAACATTTAGCAGAAGTTTTGGCTTGTGAACATGCATAAAATAAAATAAAAAAAACAGAACAAAATCAAGTTAACAGCTGTTGGCACTCATCCACTAAGCTGTAAGGTGGTGTAATAAAACACAGCGAATGAACATTATCAGTTCACAATGAAACTGTACAAGCCATTAATTCACATTGAAACAATACACCTGATTGCAGTGTTAAGCAAAAAAACATAACTTAAAATTCTATTTTATTCAAACTTGAAAAACTATTTCCACCAATTTAAATACATTAATCCCCAAAGTTTTACAGTAACTGATGATTTTCAATCATTCACACAACCACATTGTAAATCCCTGAAACATGGATTTATTATAGGAATACTGATAAAACCTTAACAGATACAAATGATACATCACAAAGTGTCTTACACCTTAATGGCAAGTACTTGACCACCTCAGATTGGTAGGTGCATCACTCCTACTTTTACACTCTAATACCATCCTCTAGGACCAAATGGTTTAAACTGAATTCACAACAGTTTGCAGTTACCTAAAAGCAATGATTTTTTAAAATCAAGCTATAAAAGATTCTCTTCCGACCAGTGTTTCAAAACTTTTGGAAAGAGAATACACTAGTGGGGACTAAACACAGTATGCAAGGAGTCATTGCAGTGAACTTCCAAGTCATTTCAGAATCAGCATCCCTGAAGAGATTTAGTATACAGCAGTATGTCCCTTGACATCAGTTACGTGGTGCATGTTTATCTGTGCATCTTAGGACCGTATTGTACCAGCAGGTCTTAGGACTGTTGAAATTAATCTCATTCTGGCACAAACTTTCTGTGGGGTAGGGCAATTCCCAGATGAAAGGCACTCTGTTATGAGTGAAATCAGAATTACCAGCAATGCAAATGGACAACTTGTAACATATTGAAGGGAAATGCTGCAGCTTAACGTGAACTCTAAAATTATGTACTTTCTGTAAAATATGTGGAAAAAGGATTTCAAGCAGCTGTAGTGCATCTGTTTACATGCACACAGACACTACCCATCGTACAAGCAGAGATCTTCCAAGTATCTCAACAGTTGTTCAGTTTTTTTTCCTCTGGTGCTTTTCTCACTTGGGTGAAAGCAAGCTTCTACAGTTCAAGGTGACTTGCAGAACAGCCCACAGCCCACCACTGCACTGCATCTTGCAGCCCACAGCGAGCAGACCTGGAGAAAAGTTGCAAGTGTGGTCCTCGGTAGTAGAACAAGAGCACAGGTACACACCTATAGTTGGTATCCCTTATTTCTCCTCATGCCTTTTTTTATTTTTCCACCCTCCTTCTTAAAAAGAAAAAAAAAATCATCTTGGGAATACAGCTTTCCTTAAGGCTAGGAAAACTCATGCTTATTAGTCTGACTAAGGGATGTGCAAAACAGAAGTAATTTCCCTGAGGCAAAGATCTTCAAGTCATGCCTAGTTTACATTGTCTATTCTTATTTCACTTGTTGAAATATTTGGCACACTGTGGCCTTGATCACTGACTGAGTCTCCCAGTATTATTACAGTCTGTATTATACATTTATACAATAAAGTATAAGTTGCAAATGCTTCATTCTCTCATTCTGGTTTGGTTTTTCACATTTACTGATTAAAATCCCTTTCCTTCTCAAGGGTGGCATTGGGTATCCTGGGCAGGGAGGTAGAGTGAGAAACTTCTACTGTATTTAAAGGTTGTCACGAGTACTGAATGCCTAAAAAGGCAATCACAGTAGTTACTGGACTCAAAACACAGAGTAACAGGGTGACAATTAATATCCTGTTACATACAGCCTGTTACTTGGTCAAAAGTAGGTGATTAAATAGTTGCTTCTTGATTTACATTATGAAAACCATCCAGGAAGGAAAAAAAAAGTCATGTTATGAGTGCCTCCAGTCTAAAACACCTAAGAAGAAAAGCTTGAAACTAAGTCTTCCCAGTTTTCCCTTTTAAAATATAAATTGCACTTTTATTCAAAGCAATCCAAAAAGCCTAAATAGCAGTAAAAATCTGAAGCTGCCTTGCTGTACCAAAGAGCAACTGCGTTCAGCATCTGAGGTACAGGCAGTTAGTTTCCAGCCATTCTGTACATAGAGCCATTTGCTCTACTCCTTTCTGCTTTCAAAGGGCCTGTCATAAAATGCCATGCCACTGGGTGGGGAATAAACAAATAAAAAACAATAGTAGGAATTTAAGGCCTTTATCTCCAGGAGGAGCTGAAAACTGTGGCACAACCCATGAACAATACTTACTATGAAATTAGCACACTCCCACCCAGGGCTTCCAAAGTCAGTCATTCTTTCTAACATTTGCCACACAAGACAATCATACCAACAGCAAGCAACAGTGCCAATTAAGCATTTTTAAGGTCTTCAAAAAGTCATAGCAAAGGGCACTTCTGAGAAAGATATCTTATAGATTTGGTTTTAAAAATAGACACCACACTCACATTCAAGGGACATCCTTCACTTTTAGGCCTTTGTCACAAATCTGAATCTTTATTGTTCTGAAGTAAATGCTATAAACATAAGACTCAAAACAAGAACTCCAACTTTCAGTCTCAGAAGAGGTGTGGTTCAATGCCCATATCACATGTAACAAGAAAGTCTCCTTAAAAAAGGAAAAAAAATTACTGTCAAGTCTTTTTTATCAATGAAAATGCAATCCTTTGTTTTTCTCATTACTTTGTGTACAGGCGGGCACCAAAAAAAAAACGTTTGCATTTTCTTTTGAATTCTTGCTATGACGCTTGACGAACTTTCTGCCATTCAACAAATTCATCCAGAAGTACAGGCCCTGCAAGTGGAATAAACTGAGTTATAATTGGCAATGTCTTTCAAACACCTCCTTTTTAAGTATGAGGGTTTAAAGCTACTAGTCTAGGAAACATCCATGTCAATCCTATGGGGTAAAATACTCAAAGATTGGTACAATCATTCCAATCCAAGGATGATAAAAAGTGCCCAAAACCCACTATATAGAATTATGGAAAAGTGTTCCTGATATCTGACAGGTGAAGTGAACTGAATGGAAAGCATAAAAATAATTTTATGAATCTTGTAAATTAGCATAACTAATTCCTTCTTCCTAAAGTGCTTAAAATTGTGAATAATTAGAACATGGACCAAAATGGGACTTATGCAATTCAGTCATGGCATGACTGACTACTGGCCAGGTGGACAGCCCCAAGTACTACTAGGTAGGCAAAAATTGTTAAGCTAGACTTTATTATATACTAGTACAAAATGAGGGTTTGCTCTGTATAATTCTGCTTGCAAGTCTATGGTTGTATGCAGCAAGCATCTTCACCAGATCCTCACTGAATACAAGCTGGCTCAAGTAAACCATCATACTATTGACATACTATACCCCTGACATACAATTAAGAACAGATAGTATCTGCAGCTTGAAGATGGATGGTTACCAGGGCTGCTTTTCCTTACACTGTTGGGAAAAAAATTTATACTTTACAGTATTGTTTCCATTACAAAAATTTGTTTTATGCAATTATAAAATTCTCTGCTAATATCTAAATAAGCAAAACATTAAGAATACTTACATGCACCATCTTCATCATAGTTGCTAAGATCTGCATGGACAGTTCTGCTGAACTCTAGTACATTGTACCACTGATCCTTGTTCATAACTCTATACTTCGATTGCTAGGAAAAGTAATTTCAAAATATTAAAATGTCAAGTGGCATTTGGTACTCCTGCATCTCATTTATCTAATTCTACCTTCAATGAGTTCCTAACAATTTAATGGGTAACAATGGCTATTACTTGCTTGATTTTCCATCTTTAAAAATACTACACATGAACATAGTATTTCATAACTATGAAACTACCTAAAATGATTTATTGGAAGATCAGAGCAAAATCACATATCCTTAAACCTGGAAATCAGTAAATCACCACTAAGCTTCAAAAACTGGTATATTTTTGCCTTGCCCTGAAGCAGGGCATATCTAGCTCAGACATATTTCCAGAACAAACTATTAAAAAAAAAATTAAAAAAAAAAATCTTCTTTTCTCCAGGGTACAATACATTATGATCATAAGGACATCTCCTTTGCAGTGTTAGTACTTTTCTGAAGCCAGGGAATAGTTGAGCCTAATGTGTTCCACAACCTACACCTGTTCACTTGAGTCAGTCACTTGCAGCAGCTGAGCTGACCAAAATCCTCCAGAGAGAGCCAGAGATCAAGGTACCTACACACTGTACCTGTATCAGTGCAGATGCAGCTGAAGCAACTAGTGGGGCTCTACTACTTACTTTTTAATTTATATTTATAGCATAATTAAGATGGAATTTTATTTGCCTTTGATAACTAAAGGGGCTGGGGCACAGGGAGGAAGATAAGGATCTGTGATGCATACAAGAACATCACTGCTTCATATGCACATTGAGCAAGGGAAAAGGAGCAACATGGATACATTCCTGAGTAAAATAAACACAATATTCTCACAGAACAGTCCAACTACTACACCAACATTCACAAAGTCAAGGAAACTTGTACCTCCAGGTATTGATAAAATACTGAAAACAGTGGCCAAGTTCTTCCGAGCAGAAGAGCTAACATGGACTTTGCAGTATCAATATCAAGACTTCGCTGGTCTTTTTCCTAAGGTTGAATAAAGAAAGCACAGAAACCAATCAAGTACAAGCTTGTTAAATAAATAAAAGTAAGAACTTTCCTAACATTTCAGCAGTCTTACCCTTGCAAAATCAAAGGCGTATCTGTAGATATTCTTAAAGGATGAAATGTCATTCAACTGTGACCGTAAGAAGTCAAATTTACTCTGTAATTTTTCTGTACAGTCACACCTTAAAAAAAACAACCAAAAAACCAAAAACAAAGTATTAGGAGTTCAAAACACAACATTTAGGCAAAGAAAAAAATGCCAGGTAACATAAAAATTAAAATCACCAAAGCAAATAGCAATCATTATCTATACAGGAGTAATACTGTGAAACTCACTTAAAGAATATTGAACATGCTTAACACTTGCAGCTTGCTGAAATGGTGAATGCTGGCTTCTGTAAGCAAGTTTTTTGTTTTAAATATATCAGCAACATAATACCAAGTGCAGGCTTCACATCTCAAATAATAGTCTTTTAATTCCAAACTCTGTAATCTACACTAACACCCAGAAGTATCCTATCTTCTGATCACTATGAACGTTTGAAGATAACATCATTCAGTGTGCATTAAGGGGTAAAATCCAGCTGCAAATAATGGAAAAACACAAACCCTAAACAGTCAGTTTTGAAGTGCGTGTTTACAAACAGCAGGATTGAACAGGTATTCTGCAAAACATACCAGTCTGTTCATGTTTTATGACTGATAAATGCAAGCTCTGATAAAACCTTAATCACCTGAATTAGTCAGTAGCTTTTCAACTGAAAAAATCAAAGGCTGTATGAGCATGTACAGGTCCACTAGTCAACAGGATAAAGCTTTGGCAAAAATAACCCTTTGGCAAAAAGATCTCCTTGTACCTTACTCAGCAAGGAATTTTGTTTCCAAATAGAAAATGGGTCAGATTCACCAACAATGGCAAAGTAGAATACAATTTAACCTTGTTAATCCTCCAGAAAGTGCTTACTCAATAGGACAGTAATAACAGTACATTTTATTCTTATAAAAAAGCTGCCATGATTAAAAAAGAATAAATTAAAACATCTACCTTGCCTTGTATCCTTCGTGAAGAAGCATACTTTCAGAAATGCAGCTGTACAGAAATACATCCTTTGGTCACGTGTCCCCCTTTTGGCAGCCTGCCTCTCAGAGAATACATCTGCACCTCTAACAGCTCCACATGGACTTGTCACACAGGCCCCCAGCAAGGGCCCTTCAGGGGTACTGCAGGTTGATGAGATGCTGTGCTTTGCTCACAGCTGACACTTCCTGTTCCTCAGATCTGCCAGCCTGTGTGTGCACAGCTGTCTGTCAGTCTGTCTCTCAGACTGCGACAAGAGAAATGTAGCAATTCCAACTGATGCAACCTTTTATTATTTTTTGTCTCTAGCAGCATCTACCTAAAGCAGCACTGAGTCCTGGCCAATACTGGTGCTAAATAAATAAAACTATTAGCTAATTAGGCTACATATTCAGATGACAACTAGTATATTCTGTGAGAAACCATATAACAAATTGAAAAGACCTCTTGTTAAGTGAGCTTTGGTAAACTTAACTAAAGATAAAATTACTTTTTTTGTCTTCAGCTATCTAATTGGTCTGTATTCTACTATTTAACCCTTAAAACAGCATTATGATATGCTAGAAAGGCATCGTATTTTTATTCATATATCTTCTATGTTCAAAGCTTCATACTTCCAACAGAACATTCTACACATTTGAGGACAAATCTACCTATTTAATCTACCTAATTTAGTTGACTAGAGTCATATATAAGCTATCTATAGTGTGTTCACCACACATTTTGTTAAATATAATCTGACAGATCATTTACCATATCATGGGTAAACAACGGGTCAATTTCAGTATGTTTGGATTTCTTACAAACCACTTTGTTAAAATTGTTCAAATAATCATAAATCTAAGTGCAAAGTAAAATCCCAACTATTGTCTATTATAGTATTGGCTATGTGTATTTTAATATGCAACTGATTCTTTTGAAAAAGTTGGTATGAAAATGAGTAATTATTAAGTGTCAAGACTCCTAAGCAATTTATAATCAGTGCATTTATAACCAAACAGCCAAATGGATCATACTCACACCAGCACACCCTCTGGATCCCAACACAGGAACATGTCTCTGTCAAAGCTGTTTAGGGCGTTTTTGTACCTAGCCGCTGACTTTCCTCCCAAAAAGAGGCAAGGAATTGTCAAACTCCTCTTTTACAGAGATACAGCTGCTTGTGTGCTTGCACCATAGAAAAGATGACTGAGGTCGCCCATACTTAGAATAATCTTCCTAATAACATGAACAATCTTTTAATTAGCACAGGTGAATTAACACTAAACTCTTGTACAGACAGTCTTTACTGAAAGATATCATTAAATAGCGTTACCAAGATCAACAAAATTAGACATTAGCTTACTACATTCTGTTCTCATCCCTATGTCATATTTTTAACAAAAATTATGTCAAAATTATGTCACATTTTTAACAAAACCCAGACTAGTGGATGTAGTTCAATTTCTGTTGAGGTAGAGAGATCATCTGAAGCATAGTTAACATGGACAAAGTAATGATTCATTAACTTCTACTAAGATATTCCAATGTTTTCTATTTCCTAGCTATTTCATATATGTTTGTTCTTTACTAAAAAGAAAAAAATCGCTAAGATGTATACAAACATTAAACCAAAAGCATTTAATGTTTTAAATATAAAAATATATTAAATATATTTAATACATACTTATGTATTATAATACATATTATAGATGTATTCAATAAATATTGTATTTATATAATAAATATAAATACAAAATGTTATTAAATATAAAAACACATAAATACCTAAGAAGGTACTTAAAGTAGCCGAAATAAACGGCCTAGCACATGTACTTGATTCTCTCTCTGCTATGAAGAGAGCTTGCACATATACATACATATGTATGTATACACACACACACGTGTGTGTGGCAGAATTCACCCTACCTATACAACATACTGGAAATGTCCCAGCCTAAGGTGCTTAGGTCTCATAAGATGCTATTCAGAGCTTAATTCACCTTCATTTTGACAGTAGCTACCTTACCACACATTTATTTTTCACATCTCTAGACAGCAAACTTCACCAGCGTATTATGAAACAACATACAGAGAGAATGTCACTTCAAGATTCAGGCACCCAAATGCTGACATCTAACTGCTAGATTAGCTAGCCAAGCAACCTCTAAGAGCAATTCAGGTGACCAGTCATTAGGTCTTAGGGCAAACTGGATACCTCCCTAGGTTCCATCACACTGACTGGATCTCCAAAGATTGTAATAAGAGTTTAAGAAATCCAGCTCTTGCACATAAACCAAACATTTAGGTATCTTACTATTGAGCTGAATTCCACCCAACCCTGTTCATGCAATTACCTTGTGTGACATTTTACATATTTTGAAATAAGGATTCTGTAAGAGAACTCTGACTAGAATACACTCTGGGGGTTTAATGCATTTCAATCTCATTTCTTCACACAAAAATTAAAAGAAAAAAAAATAAGCTGTGCAAGTAGCAAGCAGTAGCAAGTAATATTTTACTGTTTTAAGTGTAAAATCCTTTTCCTTCAAACTTGTGTCAAAACTTTCAGGAGAAAATATACAACCTCTTTCCAGATGGAATCCCATAATATGATCTTCCCTTCCGAGTAAGCAACAACAGCGCGTATCTACAGGTTTCTATTTTCTTTCATCATGGTTTAACCCCAGCTGGCAACTAAGTGCCACTGAGCCACCTGCTCACTCACAGCCAAAACCTGCATGTATTTTTTAGCCAATGGATCTTGAGCTGTTATGTGAGCATCTCTGCTTCACCCAGCTGCTTAGACAGCTTATTAGAAAACAACAGGAGAAGCAAAACATACACATGAACTCCTTTAGGCTTAGGCAAGTGCTCTCACCAGAAATCTGTTCCTATGAAAACACACAGCAGCAGGCTATTTTCAATCTTATACACATTTAGACTATAGCATGACCAGCTCTGTTCTGAAAATAACTAGAAGATTCCCAGTCACAGCAAATTATTAAAAAATGTCTAAAACATCAGCTATAAACAAGTGTCTGATTTCATACACCTTTGTGCTTGCATTCTGTGAGATCACATAACTTCTATGTGGGCATAAAAATTAAGTACCTCAGATAAGTGACCAGTACTCATTCACTGCATCTGAAAAATCATGCACCCAGAATTTAATCTCCATCATTCTGAATTTCAACCAGTTATATCATTCCAGATCTTAATTTATTAAATTTCTCATGAAAGTCATGAAATAGTCAAGGTATCTATCAGAAGCCTGATCCCAAATCAATTAAGAGTTAAGAGAGTCAGTCTAGAGTCACTTACTCCATAGCTCTGAGTAACCAGAGGGTATCTGCCTGATACAATTTCCCAAACCAATCTAGGGCAAGGGTAAAATCAACCCTTTTTTCTCACTGTGCTCTAGCTGCAATAGTAGCTCCTATTTGTAATCTTGAATGCAGTTCAATATTGTAATATTGTAATGCCAATTACAAGACACCCTTAAAACACTAGGGTACCACAAATAGTTATACAATGAACAAAAAATAACAACTGAAGTAATCCTCACAAAAAGCTGATCACTTTAATGTAAGAAACTAACTCACCAAAAATCCAAATGCAAATAGAAAGAGCAAGAGGTAAATTGAAAAGGTGTTATTTAACTTAAGCATTAAGCATGGCTTCTGACATGCATCCAATAAATAATACTAACAGCCAAAATTATTATTCATGCAGACCTTATCTATAAAGGTCAGAAATCAGTACAATTTTTCCAGAATATCAGTCCTGAGATATGCTTATATGCATCTCTAGAACTACTTATTTATGGTGCTAAGTAGAATGACACTTTAACTTAATCCTTCGAGTGAACCCATCAGATTAATTTTGCAGTTGTGGATCAAAACAAGACCTAAAAGCCGGCTTTTTATTGTGTCTTATTTTCAACATACAAGAAACAGAATAAGAATAGTTAAGTTAGAGGTACAATCATAAAATTAGATCATTCTACTAGATACGTAAAAACTCTTACTGTAATGAGGTCATTCCTTTTAACCATTCTTCCTTGGTAAAAAACCCCATGCTTTCAGCCTCTAGTTTCCAGGCTAAAACTAACATAATAATCTAGGGGAAACAAAAATAAGAGGAGGAAAAGAAGTCAGTACGTAAGAAAAAGCTGATTTACTAATGTCCAAGAATAAAACTCTAAAAGCATTCAGACATTCTAGTAATTGTGGCACATGCTTGGTCTTCGTATTTGTTACCATTAAAAAATTCAGCTACATGCAATTTTTCCCTTAATTTCAATTTTTGAAAATTAAGTGTTACTATATTAAAACCCCCCCAAAAAACCCTCACACATCAGCCAAGTATAATTGATGTATTCAACTGAAATATCTTAGAGCAGCTTCTATAAGCAGGAAAATGAAAAACTCTTAGTGGAGTTAAGAGTTTTATACAGAACTTAACCTTATGTAATATCCTCTTAGGTGTTATTAACACTGTGAAAGAAACTTACATTTTCAGGTTCAACACCGATGTCTTCACAGAATTTTTCCATTCCTTCAGGGCCTACAACTTCATCAGGACCTTCAAAGCAAAAACCACACCAGAGTGAAATCTAGGTAACATTCACTGCTCACAAGGGTTATGCACAATAATTAGGCTATATTGCACCCCAACTATTCCTAAAAACATTCAATTACACTATTAAGTAGTTTTTAAGCTAGAACTATTCTATCAAGTGCAATTGTATTGATATGTATGTTATGTGCTACACCAAAACGTTTGTGCTGTGCACTGCGTCCCTATGATAGCAGACGAGCCATTTTAGTTTTGTATCCGAGTTTTCAAAAGACTCCATTGAACTCCCTATTGACACAGCTCAGCTCCAGTAACTGTGGCAGTCAATTGTTTTAAGACAATTTGGGTACTGCTACTCTCTGCTGATGTTACTTTATGAATAATGTTCTTAGAAAAATTATTTTATCAACAACAAAAAAAAAAATCTAATTCTGTCTGAGCTACTATTACAGATATTATTCTTTTGATGGTACTAATATGGGTTTACACTAACACAGAAGAGGGTGAATCTGCAAATAATGTAAGATGAGTTTTATGATGCTGAATAATATAAACAAAGTGATAACAATAAACTGAAGAAATGCTGAGCACGCTAGCCATATAGAAAGCAGAAAAAATGTTTAGGGCTGCAATGAAAACAGATTGATTAGGTCCACAACAGTCAGTGTTATGCTGTCATTTCTCCTTTTTAACACAGAAGTCTCTAAATGCATCAAAATAGTGCATTTAAAGAGTGCACACAGACACATTCTAGGGTGATTTGTTCCTCTAAGCTCCCTCTGGTTTCAGTTATTTTGACTACGCCTGTTCTAAAAATGACTCTTATTGGGCAGCCAAATATTATGAAAAAGCCTGCCAACACAGTATTTTGATGTGTCTTGGATCATTAAATTAACATTTAGTAAGTATGATCTCATGTAAAAGGGAAAGGTTTTAGCTTCCCAAACAACTTTTTGGAGAATTTTGCTACTTATAATAGGCAGAGTCCTTGGTGATACATGTCTCCACTTTATCAGCTGCCAGCGTAAACAGAAGACTAAGAGTTTGGACAATGTGCTTTGAATAACTACTCACTGTGAGATAAGAATATTGTCAATAAAAACTATTGAAAATGACTACTTTTACAGGAAAATAAAATGTAACTGACACTTAAGATCACAAACCCCTACCTCTTGAAAAATATTGCAAAGGACATTTTGCCTATGCAAGCAAGGCCAAACAGTGTTAGATAGAAAATGATAAAAAAAAGATAAATGCAAGTTATGAAGAGAAACACATACAAGGGTTCACTGGTAATGACAAGTAAAAACTTGAATCTGGTTCAGAAACCACATATACATCTCATAGTTTTATCTCTCAATGGAAAGATTTTTATCTTCTAATACAATTTAATTTGAATTCTATCTCCTGCTGGAAATGCGCCACTTTTTGATTACTGGTTAACTAAAATATAACCTCCTACATTCAATTCTTGACTCAACAAAAAGACAAAATTTACAGACATTAATTCTGAAGAATGTGCAAACGCATTTATCACAAGAAAATTAACTTTTAATTATTATTTCTCTACTCCAGAAAAATATACCTCAAACCTAAAGTAGAAAGCAGATTACTATAAACAGGAGTACTTCATTGGTGTGAAAAGACTGCAAGGAAAATATCAGACCTGATAAATATACTCAAATCAATTGCTGGTAGATAAAATCAGCAGCTTGCTCCATTATAAGATCTGGCAATTAATGAATTTTAATCACCAACCAGTTATGATGGACTTGAAATAGTGAGTAGACCAGAAATTAATAAAAATTTAGAAATCCTGAGCTCAGAAACATGTAATTGGTAAATAAATATCAGTAATAGTGTAATAAATTCTGCAAAATACACTGCATATTTACTGAAAGCAGATACTTGCTGGCCATTGTGAGTTATTTAAAAGAGGCTACTTGAAATACTTTTGGAATGAGACATTTGTTATTTAGAATATCGAAAACGTTAGTACAAATTCTCAGATGAAAAAACAATATGAGCCTCTATTATTTTGTTTTGTAAAACAGAAATCCAAGGAGCTTAAATCATGACCTATGTCATTAGCCTTCCAATATGCCCACAAAGACATAGTTAGATATGTAATCATCAATCTGAATTATCTCTCAGTGTCCTTCTACCTGACAATTTCAAAACAAGAAGTAGAGTGACTCAGTATATCCTAGTTCAACACTGTACTGCTCAACATCTGTTATTTCATTTTAAAGTTATAAAGCATAGAGTAAAGAAAAGTAAGTCAGAAAGAGCAAGTACCAAGAAGGTAATAATAAAAGCTCAACTGCATGTTATAAAAACTCAAGTGCATGTTATAAAGAAGCAAATATGGATATATTTTTATGTCTACATCAGCATAAAAAAAAGAAAAATGCAAGTAGTATTTGATGTATAGGTTTATTTAAAACAAAACCATAACCTTTTAAACATGAGTGCATTGTGTATTACCTGCATATTCATAAAACCAAGCCAGGCACTTCTTGCTTGAAAAATGTTCCTCTCCACTTATTACTTTACCAGATGCTTGTGATCTGCAGAAGCAAATAAAAACACAGGGATGAACAGCATTATTTTAATGAGATATGTGAAAAATAGGAAAAAATAAATTACACAACATTTATTATTAATCTATTTGAATTGTTTTACGAGGTCAATGTACACCTACAGTTATGGCGAATTTCATAAAAGGCAACTGTCTGTCATCCTCAGCTCTTGCTGGAACATAAAACTACCTTTAAATTACAACCATGTCATAGCCCAATTTATTGCAACTGTTACTTTTTCTGATATGCATAAATACTGTTATCTTGAAGATACATAACAAAAAAAAACTCCACACAGATGGCCAAAATATCACTCCTCAGTAATTCAAATGCCTTATTATCTACTTATATTTATACAGGCATTTAATGTTAGGTCTCTAATAAGCAGCCTGATCTTCAAGAGTGCTGAATATGCACAGATCCCATTAAGGTCAACAGAAGCTGCAGAGTTTGACATATTTAAAAGTCAGGCTATTTATAATTAACCACCCAAATCTGGGAAATAAAGTTGGTCAATTTGTTTACATTCTACCTGCAAGTTCTGTAGATATTTGGTACATATACCAGAATAGTAGTGTGCAATCTGTGGCAAGACTGAAGCTGCTCAGCACACACAGCTTCCCCTCATCATTTGTCTTCATTATGTAACACAGCCCAGTTTGCCTAGGACGTGAATTCTCTAACTCATCATTCATTAAAAGAATGCACAGAATTTCTTCCAGTAAAAACACTGACTACACCAAGGCATCTTAAATCAGTAAGGAGTTGCAGCACCTTTTCAATGCATCCTCCTTTCAAACACAAATTACAGACTTTTTGAACAAGCTAAGGTTATTTCTAACAATAAGGTGAGAGCTAATCATATGAGAGGATTTAAAATTATGCAGCTCCCACATTGCAATTTTAAAATTAAAACGTCAAACAGGAGAAGAATAGTTCAATTCTGAGAGAGGCGAAAAACTTTAACTCCCCATGTATCGTTTTTAGCTTCACTGGAAAAGAACACAACACTCTAAGAAGCAGCCTTCTGTGCTGAAAGCTAGAATTAAAGGTGTCCTACAAACATTCATCCATCCAACTGGCATTAGGAACACAAGTCACCAGAAAGAGGCAGTGTCATATGGTATGCTATTGCTTATTGGCTTTATCCAGATTAACACAGATCTATTTGTAACCACTGATTTTACTAAAGAATATTACAATAAATTGTTGTGTAAGAACACAATGCCAAAAATGCTTGTGTATCTAACATTTTTTGATCACCTAGCATGAACTCTCACTTATATCATAGATTTTGCCCAACAACTAGCTCATATTCTACTAACTATAGAATATGGCTTTGCTTTATTTTTTATTTTTTTTTTTTATTTTTTTTACCTATGAGAGCCCTTTAAGTAAAAGAAATTAAGATCATAAAATTTCGGTTAACAGTGTTCCAGAAAGACAAACTGAAACTGAACACATGCAAATAAGGGCTAAGATGAGCAAGGAAACTCAAAGTCAGTATTACAAACCAGGATAATTTATATTTTTTAAGTATACAAAACAAAGTATGAGAAAACAGAAGGGTTCCCTCCAAATATACTTTGAGGCAGAACCATGAGGGAGTAAAGTGCTACAGAGGATAATGCTGGCACAAGAACAGTTATTTATAGGCAATGAATAAACTGACTGAAAAAGGTCATCAATGACCACAGAAAGTGAAGTCTAGAATAGTTACCCAAAATGAACAGTCGTAACAAAATAAGAGCCTGGGTACTTCTGAGCTCAAGCTCAAGCCAGCCTGTGAGAAAGGCCATATGCCACGATTTTTTGCAATAGCCATTCCCGTAGTGTTGATTTCGCAAGTCCTTTGTATCCTCATGTCCTCAGGACTAGTGGTAACTACTGCTTTACCGGCATACTTAACAAGGTCTAATAGATGAAGCAGGCAGTTACTTCGGGGAAGCCACACTGTAAGCTCCTGCTGCACTGCACTAATGGCTTATCATTCTAACAGCAAATTTTGGGCATCACTGCATAAAGTGGTCTTTTTACAGTAGTTAATGAACAAGATGCTTCACACTCCTGTATTTATTAGAGAAACCTTTCCTGCTCTTGTTTTCCAGTGTGCTGACCAATCTTTCCAATTCACTGAAAAAAAAAAAAAAAAGAAAAAAAGGAAAAAAAAGAAAAAAAAGGAAAAAAATGGGGGGGGGGGAAGAAAAAAAAGAGGAAATGACGATTTAGCACAGACACGCTGGGTACTGGCAACCTTAAAGCGAGGAGAGCCGCCTACCCCAGGGAGATTGAAGGAATATGGGGACAAATGCCAGAACTGCCCCTAGAGGTACAGCCAAAGGCAAAGCCAGCCGGGAATGGGAGCCGTTCCGTGGCGTTTCTCGCCGAGGCGTGACCACGCCGCACGCCGCCGCTGCGGCCGGCACGGCGAGAAACGCACCTGCACCGGGACGTGCCCCCCGGCACGGCCGCGCTCCTGCCGGGCCGCACACGGCCTCACGCCGCCCCGG